CTCGCACTTGAAGCTCGCAGTTTTGTCGTCGAAGCGCAACAGAACCCTAAGCACTTCCTACATGACTCGTGATACCTCGCGCTGGTGTGGAGGCATGAAGGGCTACTGGGATCCACAAGGCCAGTACTACCAGAACCCTGGCTGGTATTGAAGACACTTCTCGAATTCCGCGGGGGTGTTGATGACTGCTGTTGTGGCAATGCATATTCAGCTGTGGTCTGTTTCTGTAGCGATTCCAGCTGTTTCATGCTTTTGCTGCTGTTTTGTTTTGTTGGACGTACTGTTCCCGTACTATGTTTGGATACGTCGCTGCTGAACTCGGGCTTCTGTTTCAAGTGGAGCTTGTGCAGTTGGCCCGGTGCGGGTGGAAATATGTGCAGACATGTGCGCTCATTTTTTGATTCGTTTGCGGGTATGCTTCTATGTCGAAGACTTGGTGGCGTAGTTCATTTGTTGTTGTTATTGATCGCCCTTCGGTTTGTGAAGATGAGCACCGTACTGGTGCCTGCTTCTTGCAGTCAATGCCATGGCATGAAGCGCATTCGGTTGTTCTGCTTGGGTGGTAGGTTGTTATTGTTTGTTTTTTCCCAGATATGTGTTGGTTAGCTAGCTGAGATGCTTTGTGGTTTCGTTGTTTTCATGGGCGCATGGCAGGAATTGCTATATGACCTCAAAACTGGACCTGTGCAACCAATGTGCATGAATCTAGACCTGGAAAGTACCTGAAAGTCAGAGCGAAGAAGCAAGCAGACATACACTGAATATGTGTACATGCATATGTTTATATACACGTGTGTGCATGCATCTATAACAATGTTGGAATTCATACATGCCTCTCTCTCTCTCTCTCTCTATATATATATATACATAGATATACATACAGACAAAGAGAGTCCATGACCGCCTTCTGCCGGAAGTGCAGGAAGAGCAAGTATTGTAGTGTTGCTGCCGAGATAGGTTCGTTGCTTTCATTTCTGTGCTCACCAGTGGCCATCAGACCAGGTAAAAGCCGCGGATGCTTGCGAGCATGAGAGAGAGAGAGAGAGAGAGAGAGAGAGAGAGAGAGAGAGAGAGAGAGAGAGAGAGAGAGAGAGAGAGAGAGAGAGAGAGAGAGAGAGAGAGAGAGAGAGAGAGAGAGAGAGAGAGAGAGAGAGAGAGAGAGAGAGAGAGAGAGAGAGCGAGAGAGAGAGCGAGAGCGAGAGCGAGAGCGAGAGCGAGAGCGAGAGCGAGAGCGAGAGCGAGAGCGAGAGCGAGAGCGAGAGCGAGAGCGAGAGCGAGAGCGAGAGCGAGAGCGAGAGCGAGAGCGAGAGCGAGCGAGCGAGAGAGGGAGAGGCTGACTTAGCTGAGCGCGAGTAATGCAGCCAACTCAGGGACGATGATCAGGACAAGGACACTGCCTCCGCATGGGAGGCAGGGCACTATAGCATAGCACACATGAGCGCAGCCAGCAGATAAAATGCAAACTATTCGAAAGTTCGTGGTGCTGTTGGCTCTTCCATTACGAGAAATCACGAAACGTATCACCACTACATTCATTGCCTTTGAGTTGTAGTTGTCTTAGTAGCAGTACTAGTAGTCGTCGTCGTGCTGGTGGTGGATGACGACGACGACGACTACTGCTGATGCTGCTACCACATTCTGCTGCTGCTGATGCTTTGCTTACGACGATGAGTCCTACTACTACTACTACGACGACGACTACTACTACTGCTCCTACTCCTACTTTTACTCTGACGTCTACTCCCACTCCTACTCCTACTACTCCTACTCCTACTTTTACTCTTGCTGCTACTCCTACTATTGCTACTACTACTACTACTACTACTACTGCTACTACTACTACTACTTCTACTTCTACTTCTACTATTTCTGCTACTACCACTACTACTACTACTACTACTACTACTACTACTACTACTACTACTACTACTACTACTACTAGTACTGCTACTGCTACTGCTACTGCTACTGCTACTGCTACTGCTACTGCTACTGCTACTGCTACTGCTACTGCTACTACTGCTAGTACTAGAACCGAAAGAGCCTCCGGCAACTGAACCCCTTCCCGAGCCGCATGCCATTGCACTCCAGGCATGGTTTCAAAAGTGCGGACAGATCCGCATTCCTGCCTCCATCATAGCCTCCCGCCGCGCAGCGCCACCTGGACTGAGAGTTTTGTTTGTGTCAGGAGCACTGATCAAAACAGTGCTTGAGCGCGGGGGGCTCTGAGAGGTTAGGGCCTTGGTGGGCCTTCAGGGTTTTTGAGCGGCCGAGTGCATGGTTTCGTCCCATAAGTTGGGTCGGGAGGGTGATCAGGTTTGTTAGAGTGACAATGTTTTGCGAAACGGACATGACATGTTAGTACTGTCACCGCTATTAATATCAATGCCATCACAGAATTGTTGTCTCCTGTTGCTGTCAACGGAGAAGCAGTCTGCATGCATGTTTTGGATCTGGAGGGCTTCAGATCCATGCACGGACCCCAAACCTCAAGGTACCCTTCGAGTGCCTGTATATTAACTTGATCAAACCTCAACCCTCTGCGACCCCTTATAGTAGCCCCTGTAATCTTTATGGCGTCCCAGAAACCCGACAAGAAACAAAGCATGAAGCTGCCCTTGCAGAACCTTTGTTGTACCTCTTCTTACCAACCTTGCGGTACCCTTCTAGAGCCAGTTAGATAGAACGTGAAGCATGCTAAACCAACCGAGCTCCAGACCCTAAACCCCTAAACGCCAAGCCCTAAACCCAAGACCTGGAGGTGGAACTTGTTGGGACTTCCACACCCAGATCACAGTAATTACACCAACTGTCCCGGTTGCTACAACTCATATGGCGTTCAGCTGTTACCCTGCTTTCTCAGTGGAGTGTGATCTGCTGATTCTAGCCCTCGAAATCTGGTGTTTCATGCGGGTGCATGGATTTCTGTTATCAATCTCCAGGATTTCGAGAGGGGAATGAGGGGTGTTTGAGTTGGGGGTGACATGTTTGAAGTGTTGCTTTTGTCAGATCAGTCCCATTGGTTCAGTCTCACTCAACAGACTCCGAACCACATGCCTCGCCTGGATTGTCCAGTGTGATCACCGAAACCCTAAACCTTCAACCACCCGAAAAGTCTTTGATTGTTTGCCTATTCTGTTTGCTGCTCGTTCGGTCCGGATTTCGCCGCCTTCGACCTGTTGGAGGGATATACTATAAAGGCCTTAATAATTACCTGTACTATTTGGGGTGTTTCCTTTTTAGAATTATATATAATTCAACCCCAAACCCTATTCTAACTATTAAGGCCCCTCTTGAAGTCAAAGACCAGTGATCGCAGCTCCTTGCCTGCCCTGTGCACTTTGCGTGAGTCGAAACCCTGCGAGGGTCACAAACCCGAAATCCAAAACCCCAAAGCCCTAAAAGCCCGAAGCTGCGGAATGCAACGAGCAGACACCAAAACGACCCTTAAAAAAGTGAAAAAGAAAAAAACTAAGCCCGAAATCCGACAACACTCCCCAAGCTAGGTAGGGCTTTGGGACATTTTACATCTCCCCTTATTGGGTTTAAGAGGATCTTATATACTAATATTTTTCAAAGGCTTTAAAAGCCCCCTAGCAAGGAGTGAAGCATACTGGAGCTTCGACCGGCTCGGAGCTCGGGCTGGTTGCAGGTTGGCTTCTCTCGAAGGGTTTGGGGGTTTAGGGTTTAGGGTTTTAGGGTCTAGTGTTTGGTCTGGGGTTTTAGGGTTCAGGGCTTAGGGGTTTAGGGTTTAGGGGTTTAGGGGTTTAGAGTTTAGGGGTTTAGGGTTTAGGGTGTTAGGGTTTATAGAGGGGTTTCAGGCGTAGTTGCTCATGCCAGGAGGTTTCGGACTGAAAGGTCCTGCTGTCGCTTATCAGGGTTTAGGGGTTGGTTGTCCGGTTTAAGGGTGCAGGGGTTTGGGGGGTTCAAGAGTTAATGGTTAATACTTTTGTTTAAGGGTCGTCGTGGGGGGCTTAAGAATACACAATATTACACAGTAATTAGGTGTTTGTGCGGACTGAGGCTTTGCCTTCCGATAGGTCACCGGTTCATCGGGCCTTTATTTCACCATCCATTGTCCAGCTGTCGAAGTTGTGGAACGTGTCAGTAAAGGTCTCAGCGTGCGGGTGGACTAGCATCAGGGCATGACGGCAACGGCCAGGCCTCCAAGAAGAAACCGGGCCGCAGATCTGGTCAAGACTGGCAGAGGCGATGTTACTAGAGCCAAGAGCATGCTACCCGATCTTGAAAACCCTCAGACGTTGTTCCCAGAGATCCAGCTTCTAAGCAGGCATATATGGGAGTTTCCGAAAATTAGGGGTACCTTATTTTGGGGCGCTTGTAATAAGGATCCTACTATTCAGGGTACTATATTTTCGGAAACTCCCGTAGCGTGTCCTGTCTGTGGTCCGGGAGAGTCTGGAGACATCCCTCGTCGTCCCCGGCTGTGCTGCTAGGATTTAGGGTTCCGGGTTTAGGGTTTGGGGTTTGAAAATGCATTGTCCTAGAGCGGATCGAGAGCAAACTGTTCAGGGGTTCCTCATCATTTTCGTGCCGCAGCTAACTTTTTGGGCTTAAGTGGCTGACATGCAAGCCTGTCAGCCACATACGTGATTCCCGAATTTTCAACATTATGGCACACGTTCCATGAGTTCCTATGCAGGCTGCTCATGAGTCCTGTTCGGAGCCGCTGCTTAGAATGTACTGCAACATTCATCATCGAATATACAAAGTATACGTGGTGTAAAGTTTGACTTTGTGTCAGGAACCCCGCAGCCTGCGTGGAAAGTGTGTTCAGAACACCCTGAAGAAATGCATTGAAGTTTCAAGCTTTTCTTGCATCTGTCTCCAGGTAAAGCTATGCCTTTGCAGTTTGCCCAGAAACTGGTCAAGCCTTTCTTCGGTGGTGTTCGTGAAGTTTGGCCCCTTTTTTCATTTTTCTCTGTCGCCCAAGAAATTTGGGAAGTGCCTAGTGCATAGAGTGCCGCCCCCCAGACCAGATGGGGAATCGGCAGGGTCGACCGACTTTGCGCGATTTGGCCTGCACGGACCGCGGACGTCAGACAGCATGCCCAATTAAGTTCCCGATGCATGTCGTGCCCTTGGATGTATTCCTTTCACTGCGCCGCCTGAAGCCGTTTCAAGCCACTCGGCAGTCATGCGTTTTTGATGCATCGTTTTCGCCTTCCTATCGCTTTGGCCTGCACGCTCAACTTTGCTTGGTGTTCTTCATTTGCTGATGTATAAAGTGTGCTTTGTACCCAGAGGCTCCAAAACCCCTTAAATAAGGAATGTACCTCAATATCATATTAGGGGTCCCATTGTAATAGATTTCAGGTATATTCCTTGATTACGGAGTTTTGGAGGCTCAGGGTACGTCTGAGCCTGGCTTCATTCGGTACCCTGGCCGGGCCCTCCTCTCCTTTGGGAGTTTCCGAAAATGAGGGGTGCCGTGTCTTGGGTCCTGAAAATCAGGATCCTACTGTTTAGGATATTAAACAGGGCGGCCCTATTTTCGGAAACCCCCATGTACAGGCATGGGCAACTGTAAATCTGCATGTGTCATGATTGGCAGCATGATGTTCAGATCGTAGGGGCGGCTGCACATGTAGGCCTGGATGTAGGCAATGTCGGAATGTCCTCCATGAATGAACGAAGGAATGAAATGTGCGTGAAGGGAAGGAAACGACATGAATCAAGGGAAGGAAAGGAAAGGACATGAAATGCAAACAGTAAATGGAGCCGAATGGAAGCCATCCAAAAAACGGGTGAGTGAAATGATTGTAAGGCAACGATAGGCAATGAAGGAAGGAAGGAAGGTGGTTGGTTTCGGATGAATTTCCTGCGGTGCGATTCTGTCACCTGGGGGGGGGGGGGGGGGCGGGAATATGTATGCATATATATATATATGCATACATACATATATACATACATACATACATACATACATACGTACATACTCTACACACGCACACATACGGAGGTAGGCATGCATGCACGCACACACCTGAACAGGCTAAATGGGTATGCCCGTCATGCACAACGTAGATCAGGTCCTTAGAACCAGTTGTGTGCAAAGATACACACAGATGGGCAGACAGACAGCCGAGTAGGTAGATAGGTAGATACAGACCAAAAAGCCAGGTGAAGCCACCGAACATCTCCCAAGGAGCTCTATCAGGAAGGCAAGTTGGTGAAGTTCCATGCCCAGATGGGTAACGTCATCTTCGTATCACATCAGTGGTATCTCGGCGCAGTGACGAAATCCTAAGCTAGTTTCTGCAATGGATCGGTCCATAGAATTTTGGACCGAGAGCCCGCAGCCGAATCCTGGTGCTCAAGCCTTGGTAGGCGCAGCTTCAAGGGTTGCTTCATGTCGACCCCTGAGTCTGCAGACACCTTTGTCGGATCCCGTCGCAAGGTAAGCCCTAGAACTTCTTTCCACGAAACCTGCTTAGGTATGTTCCAAGGAACTGCCTAGCTTTCCTGAAATCGTGAGACCAAGGTTGAAGAAGATGCATCCCGACCCACACTTCCAGCAGACGAGGGTCGCTGGAACTCATATCCCGCCGTGCTCGGAAGGTGTTTGCAGGATTTTGACACTCTTGGTTGAGTTTGTCAATTGTTTTGGGACTGCTCCGCCTTCGCTGGATCTTACATTCCGTGCATTGTTCTCGAGTCACGGCATCTTCCGTCCGAGCATACGGATGTTATAGCAGTAGGGGCCCTTAACTGCAGATGTTTTCCTTTTGGGGTGTTCATAAGCGTGTGTGTGCACAAACAGACACGTGGACATAACATCCGCATGCCCAGAAAAGGAAAGAGAGGAGAGAGAGAGAGAGAGAGAGAGAGAGAGAGAGAGAGAGAGAGAAAGAGAGAGAGAGAGAGAGAGAGAGAGAGAGGAGAGAGAGAGAGAGAGAGGAGAGAGAGAGAGAGAGAGCGAGACAGAGAGACAGCATACAGTCCACTGAAGACACAGGCCTAGTCCAATCGCTCGGGCTTCTTGAACCAATTGGAAAACTTCAGACTGAACCTGTGCAGTTTTCTCAGCCGTTTAGAGCGGGGGCATTGTGACCTTATGCAGCTTCACAGCCGAAGTGCCCATCCAGAAGCTACCAACAATCCATCTTGGGCGCTCAGAAATTATTCTTCGGGTTAGGGGAACTAGATCTAAGCCCCTAAACCCTGAATGCAACTTGATCGTCGTGCTTGCTAGCAAGCCCTGAACTCTCAACCCGACAGCCAGACCTCTCGTTCTCTCCCTCCCTGCGTGACTTCCGGAGTCTTTGTGGAGGTCCTTCAAGAAGCACTCGTTAACCTCCTGTCTGGTCGAAGCCGTGTGGCTCCGCAGGTGGAGCAGGGCTCTTGGTTGGGCTTCAGGGGATCAGGGTTTTCGGGCTTTAGGGCCGAAGGGTTTCGAGGTTCGTTTTTCTTTGTTGAGTATATACCGCCTTCGTTGGGTCCAGTGCTTGGCACTTCCTGTTTTCTGGATTAGAGTGGCTGGGCGGGTTGAGGAGGCAGGAATTCCGCGACGGATTTTGTACGGAGGCTTTTCTGCTGAGAGTTGGCTACACGTTTCAATGAGGTGAAAGACGTACCAACTGGTGCCCTCTGCTTGCATTCACATTCTTACCGTCGATGCCATGACTGCTGCTGGCAGTTGCAACTGATCCCGGCAATGGATGTGGGAGTTTCCGAGAATTAGGGGTACCTTATTTGGGTGTACTTTGTCCCGGAACCCTGAAAATCCAATCCACAGCTCGATCCTGAACCACAATGGTCCGTAACATGGCTTCTAAGTTTTGTCGAAGAGTGACCCCAACGCCACCTGAACTGCGAAAGCCGGACCTGTTGATGCATTGTTGAGGTTTCTGTCGCGTGCGCCCAGTGTGTATTGCAGAGGGCGTTGTCTGGATTGACTAGTCGCAATAGGTGGTTCAGACGAGAGCAGCTTGAGCAGGCTCGATTGTGCACATTGACTCAAAAAGTCCTACTTACTCGTCGCAGAGCACGCTACGTGAGCTTCTTCAGAACTCTGAAAAGCAATGACCGCCCTGAAGAGCTTGCAGGCAGGATGCAGCTTCGCGCAGAATGTGTCGCGGCATCAACCGGAACCCTAAAGTCTTTAGTGGGCTGCTTGTTTTGTAGGGAGACAGCGGGGGATGCAACATTGATTTACTTTGCGAGACTGGTTGTCATAAGTTGCCACCAAGCTGAGGTGCGAATCCAAGATCTCAAGGCTAAGCCGCTTTACATTTGGTGCCTCGTATGCTCTTCAGAATCATTTCGAGCCTTTGTGCTGCCGACGGACTGAAGCCCGACCTGTGAAGCGCAGGGAGTTTGCTGCAGTGAAAATGTGTGTGTGTGTGTATATATATATATATGTATAGGCATACACACAAACACATATATATATATATATATATATGTATACGAATGACCAAGGTACGACTACATGTCGTGCCCACAGCCACTCGCTCAGCATCCTTCTCAACGGTTCGGGTTTATACAGGCGTTAAGAAAGCTCCAAGCCTTGCAATCCCTGTTGCCTCTTTCGCCGAAGTCCACCACTGCAACAACAACAACTACTACTACTACTACTACTACTACTACTACTACTGCTACTGCTGCTGCTACTGCTACTGCTACTGCTACTGCTACTGCTACTGCTACTGCTACTACTACTACTACTACTACTACTACTACTACTACTACTACTACTACTACTACTACAACTACAACTACAACTACAACTAACTACAACAACTACTACTACTACTGCTACTACTACTTCTACTTCTACTTCTACTTCTACTACTACTACTACTGCCACTACTACCACCGCCGTCGCCCCTCCCGACACCACCACAACAACAACGACAACAGCAACGACAGCAACAGCAAGAACACCACCAACAACAACAACAACAACAACAACAACGACTGCAACAGCAACAACAACAACAACCACCACCGCAACCATAACCGTAACGGTAATGGTAGGAGTGACAGTAACAGCAAGGGCAACAGCAACCGCAGACGTACCCGCAACGGCAACAAGAACAGCAACGGCAACAGCGACTGCGACTGCAACTGCAATCGCCTTGCAATAAGCAACAGCAACAGCAGCAACAGCAAGAAGCCACAAACAAACATATCAACGTCAATGTCAACACCAACAGCCGCAAACAACAGCCGTATCAGCAACCTTAACAACAGCACCAGCGGCAGAGCTGAAGCAACAGCAGCACAGGAGCATCGACGATGACGACGACGACGACAAAGACCACATCAGAGTCAGCGACAGCGGCAGCAGCTATTGAGCCAGCAACACAGCACCGGCCGGCACGGAGCGACTGTTTAATCTGGCTCTCAGTCAGCGCTCAAAGAGCCTTCAAGACGGGATCGAGACCAAGCGTCTAACCTCAATCCTAGGAAAAAAAGCCTACAGAGAGTCCAAGAGTAGCCTCCCTAAACCCTAAACCCCAAAACCCTAAACCCTCACAGCCCATGGTGGACCGAGGCTAGTCGCTGACAAGGGAGATCCCGCCGTTCTGCAAAGCCTGCACAATGCAGTGGAGAGTATCCCCGGCCGGCTGTCTCAACCGGGGCCTTCCTTAACCCTGAATAACCTACCTTTTTAGGGTCCCTTATTATGATTTCCTTATCTAAGTCCTTAAAAGGGTAAGTTATTCCGGGTTGTGGTTTGGGGTATTCACGCCATCAATGCCATGAAGCATACCGGTTGGAGTTAGACGTCTCAACTTCTTTCGTGTGGATTCTGTAGGATCAGGCCATTGAGTAGATCAGGTGATTTCGGCTGTTGGCTCTAGGAGCCATGCTGACGGATGGATGTGCAAACGAGATGAAACGAGCAATCTGCAGGCTACGTGCAGATGTCCGCATTCTTCTTCATTCTTGCCCCACCTGTGCAGCACATGGAGACCGGCCGCCTTCTTAGCTATTCGTCATGGAAGGCCCGCTGTTGCTCAATGTGGGGATGCTGCATCACCGCACACAAGTGAACATGTGAATGCATGCATGGTATGGCGGATGTATCTGGGCCGTCCATATCGAAACATCATTGCTCCACCTTGACTACTGCTCGCCGGCATTCTTTCCAGTTCTATTTCTCCAAGCTCACATTTGCGTGAACCATGATTGCTCAGCGAACATTGAATACTTCCGGCCGCTGAAGCAATACCCACAGCCCTCATGTGCTTCTGGCAAGAACGGCTTATCTATGGTCCGTCGGCATTCAAACAGTCTTAAATTGTGGACTACGTCTTAGCTCCCAAGTACAAATACTTGTCGCGCTGGATCGGGATTCCGTGGAGTTATGTGCTTCGGACCTCGAAGAGCCCAGCTTAGTGGAATCTGGAAACTGCACTCGGAATGCTCACAGCTGCAAAGCCTTTCATGCCAAATTGCAACAAGAACGAATGAGTACATGCGCACGATAGGCATGAAACCACTCAGATGCAGATCTGCTGTCGTTCCGACATGATTGTCGAATGATGGTGGAGGCCCTGGACAGTGGACCACCGTTGTCGATAGATTCAAGCCAGCGGCAGCAAAGAAACCTGTGAAAACAGGCCCGTGGCTGGTGCCGCCTCGAGCGTGCTGCGCACTGCTTGGCTTTAGAGTCGATGTCGGCGCCGGTGGTGGTGGAGGGCCCGGAGCTGCAATACGCGTACCCCGGCATGCCTGTGCAGACTTTGATAAGATTTGCGTAGGAGTCTGCTACGGTGGCTCGTACTTCCGGAGGGCCGCATGGGGGCGTTTGATAATTTGTTCCTCATCGTTATTGGCTAGGACAGTTCTCCTGGTTCTCCTATCTAAGTGGCTATGACAGTTCTGTTATTGTTAAGTATCGTGGCAGTGTCCGCTCGCCACCATGTGACCTCCGCATAGAGATATGAGACCAATTTGAAAGTGCTTGTGAGAAAGTGCAGGGCCTGTTCCATCACTGGTGGTATGAAATTGACAGAGACGATTCCTGCTGTGCAGACCAACTTGCCCATGCACTGTCGCGTCACGAACACCACTTAACACATGTGAGGTTGTTCCATGACATCCATAGCTGAAATAGCTGTGGCTGTAGCTTTAGCCAGGCGTAGCTGCCCTAGAGGGGAACCGCTACGGATATGCTCGCGGCTCTGTATGTTTCAGCTAGAATGTAAAGCCGAAGTACCGCGACAACTATGTCCATCATCCGTATGAAGTACACAGGTCTGGTTTGACCGTCGTTTCCGCGGAGCCGGAAAGCTTGAACATCTTGAACCAGTCGTAGTAGCACGCAGTCCCAGCAAGCGTCGTGGTTGACTTCGCAGAAGTGCAAAAGTTTCAAGTACGAAGCATTGCAATGTGCCAACACGCTCAGGACGCATCACGTGGAGACGCTACTGCGACGTGTCTTTCTAGGATTGACTTTTCTTCTGGTGAAGATTAGTGCTTGGGTTGAGTGATGCAAATACAGGTTTCGGGTTCACACGTTCCTGCTTCGGGGTCTCCTTCTCTTGAATATCAGCACAAAACTCGAGATTCTGCTTACTTGCTTCTGCCCACCGCGCATTTCCTGAGACCCTAGACCTGCACTAACCCTTAAGGAAACCCGAAAGCATGCATACCAACACGCCTGAACCCCGAGGCCCAGCACGCCCTCCAAAGCCCACTGCCAAAGCCCCGAAAGCCCCAGACGACTCTTGAAGTCTGCGCATGGCGCAGACCTCAAAAGAAACCAGAGCACAAGGCCTGCAACGAGGGCTCGATGGTGTTTATCCGATTCGCAAAGCATCTTTCTTGGTAGGTCTCACGTAGTGCTCACGTCATTAAGAATGTGGCTTTGGTCCTGTGGACCCATACTGCCCAGGAACTGAGTTTGCAGGTTGAGCGACAAACTGATTCAACCCAAACCCTGAACCCTAAATCGTAGCTCCTGGAATTCTGGGTCATCTCTTCTTTGGCCCTGGAACACGTGGAGTCTACACTAAAGTTCCCGCCTATAGTTGGAGTGGAACTCATCAACCTAGACAGGTATGTAGTCAGGTAGATAGACAGACAGATAGATAGAAACACCGGTAGATAGATAGATAGGTATACTGTCGTAGAGTAGATAGGTTAGATAGATTCAACATATGAACACATACACCTTATTTGCCCTAAGCTTTGGTCCCCAAAGCCCCGGAAGCAACAAATCTCTTAATTATTGATTCCCGAAGCCGCCCCCGGAGCTTATGACAGTCGACCCCTTCCCCCCCTAAGCCCCAAACCCTAGATGCGAACCACCCTGAGGCCTCTACGCCCCGAGTTTTTAAGGTGCGAAACTCCGACGAGATTGCACGATGGCCTTAAATCGCGCCAACCTGCTCATAAGTTCAGATCCCCGGGGCTCAAGAACCCCCTTAGTATGCGTCCATTGGTGCCTTCAGGCGTAGACCCCTATACGACACATGGGACATGTGGATCCAAAGCCTGATTTGTAGTTCTGTAGATGTGTATGAGATCGGATGCAGCATTCTTCAGGCAGCCTGTGGGAGCCGGGGAATTCCGCTCAGAGCACGTGCCTCACCGAGCAAGCAAGAGTAGGGTTCAGGCTCTGTTTTTCAATGATGAACCTTTATTGGGGGTGTTGTACTCGGGCTTCGGGCTTGCGGTAAATTTGCAGATTAAACAAGGGCAGGTGTAACAACTACTATGGGCAAGTACATAGAGGTTTGGCATGGAGATTGGTACCAAAGGATGTGCTCTAGCATCGGTCGCATGAACTTGTTTGTTTTCAGTACTCCTTTCGCCGGACGTAGTCTTCGGTTGTATTAGTTCTCATCATATCATGTCGTATTATACCGTATCATACCAGATATCACAACATAGTATGTTGTACTTTTCTGATAGTCAAGTCACGGAGGGTTTTGGCTTCTGGCTTCAGCCTCTCTCCTCTGCCATGTATGCATGCTGAGTCCGAGCGTTCGTCACCCTCCGAAACAAAAAATATGAATTGTGCTTATGGCTTTACATCCAAGGATGATTCAAGATAATACTCTAGTTCTGGGAGCGACAGGGGTCGCATATAACCCAATCCGAAGCCCTATGGGCAGTTCTCTAAACTGGGATCCCCAAATAGTACGCCACTCTTAGGACCCAACTTAGAGAACTATACCCCTTGCAAGCCTCACCACTTCACCAAGGACAAGCAGAAGGCCGCCTCTCTCCTGCGAGCTATGGTGACGAGGAAGATGGCCTTCTACCAGGACCATGGAGACCTCCAGAGGCAGGGATCGGATTCCGAAGAGAGCTTCTACCCTAAGGCCCCAAAGTAGTTCCTTTCTGGGGTTCATATTTAGAATCCTACAAGGTAATCCCAAAAAGGAACTACTTTGGGGCCTATGGGTATAGTAGGTCTGACCCTACATCCGAGCATCGCGAGATTTGCCGTCGAAGTTCCGACGGAGCTTTGGAGTTGGGAGGGCCACATGGGAGCCGTTATCGTTTGACGGTTGAGGGGGTTGAGAGTGAACATGTCTCGGGAGGACTTGCGTATGCCGGGCCTGCAAATGTAGGCTCTTTACACGTCCTTAAGACGGGCCTGATCTTCATGACTAAACACTGGTGGCGAAGGTATAGAGTGATGTTGAACACTGGGCATCTCTACTTGCAGAATCTCTCGCCACTTGGCCGCAACTTGTGTTGAAACTGTAACTCCAGGAGCTTTACTTCTTTTGTGAGTTCCGAGGCTCAACCATTTGCCGGTGGCATTCTGGCTTCTGTTTGTGTCGGAAGCCGTCGATGTCGCGGAACTGGCTATCGATGCTTTGTAGGGGACCCGAGGGCATGAAGAGGCAGCAGAACGGGAAAACTTGTGCAGCAGCAGGAACAGTAGTCTGAGGCTTCCGCGGACCCTTCCAACTTTACCTGCCAGAACCCCCCAACAGAAAGGACAGTTCCCGGCTTAGTTCCTGTGGGTCCCGAGAATAGAATCCGAGCCAGTGAAGTCCAAATTCCATGAAGGGTACAAGCTTAAACCTTGAAAGCAGAAAGTCTAAATCATAAGTCTTGGCGGCTGTAGATCCCGTAGAGCTGTAGATCCTGCATCCCAAATCTCTGGTAGATCCTATAAACCTTACAAGAAGCCTAAACCCTAAGCCTACAATGCCCTAAACTCCCTAAGCTTTGTGTTCTATGAAGTGTTGGATGCCATCCTCAGGCTGCAAAACGACAGCTTCAACGTGGGATCTCCCGCGGGATTTCTTTCCGGCAAAGTTTCTGGCCGTGCAGATCTATCCTCGTTCATGCGATGGCGGGGGTCCCAGGCTGATAAGGGGGTTTCCGAAAATTGGTGTACCATAGTTTGGGGTGCTTATGAAGACTAAGGATCCTACTATTCAGGGTATTATGTCCCATATGCGGAGGGTTTAGGGTTCGGAGGGTTTAGGGTTCATGGTTGAACCTAGAAGCCGGAGTAATCACCCATATAGTCGTTATATGATGCTATACGGCGAAATAACCTCTGTGCCTATTGAACTGTCAAGGCTCCGAAAATTGAGTTTTCACGTTGGGTTCAGGGTTTAGGACTCAAAAGGGTTTAGGGTTGTGGGGTCGAGGTTGAAACGGGGTTTGGGTTTCAGGATGTGGATTGTGGCTGAGGAGATAGTGCATCTTTCATGTCCTCTAGGGCATGCACCTGCGTCGTGTAGATGTGTCCAAGAACTCACTACAGGCAAAATCGGCCGTTGTGCTTTGACATGTGCCACCTACACATAGTCTTGGGCTTTAGGGTTATGGATTGATGTTGCTCGCTTTAGCACGGATTTGTAAGCAGATCTAGGATCTGCGGAGTCAACAAGAGTCAACAACCCCCCAAAAAAGTTTGCCTTCGCGACTATGATGGACATGCTGAAACCCCCTCTCCCCCCGTCGGCCCCCAAAGCCGTGTAGTGGGCTTGACGGCCTTCGATGTTCAAAGTTTAGTGCGACTTGCGGTGCAATGGCCAAACTCATGGCTGATGGTGAATATTTGCAGTTTGCAGCCCCCGAGTGGCAAACGCAATCACGCTGGCATAGTATCATACTTGTTGCCCTAAGGCATCCTGAACGCTGACGCCCAACCCAAGCTCCAAGAGTTCCCTCTAGATGTTTTAATTACGGGGTGCTTCCCAAACTGCAGAAGGGATTCCTTCATACCCAGGAACGGTTTCGATGCTCTGGAACCGTGTGCAAACACTTGGCCTCCGCTGATTGCTGCCGCCTTGTCAGGCCGCATATATGCATATACTTGGCATGGCAGCCGCTGCGTGTTAGGTTCAACTGACGAGTTCCAGACTGTTCCTGCATTTGACCGGATAGCTCCTGGATGGCTCAATATGGGTTACAGTTGATACTTTCCCGATCATTCGTCGAAATTCCATGGGTGCTCGGGTTCACACCACCTTGTTGCATCTCAGCTTTCAAGGCAGCCGCATGGGCAGGGAGCCCTTGCTTCCGGCTATTTAGCTTCCGTACTAGATTGCGGTCGGTCGGTCGGGCTGCAGAAACAAAATGCTCGTGGACTCTACTTCTCGCTGCGTCTGCAGAGGATTAGCTTGCCGCATCTTGCCGCCTCATACGTAGAAACGCCTTCCATTGAACAAGGCCGGCAATGCAAGGGGTGCTGAGGTTCGAAATGTTGCGAGGAAACCTAATGAGGCCCGAGGCATCTCTTGATGGCCATCACAATTCGCGTGATGCATGGATCCCGTTCGCACCTGACCAAAAATCGATGCGGACCATGCATTTCACATGCCTGCAAGCGAAAACCTGGAAGGTTCGGTAACTTCAAAGCCTCAACAGATCGCTCCTGAGCCAGTTGGCAGAGGGAGCCAGGAGCTAAAACTGTACTCCCGCTTCCCCTGTCCCACGAAGCCATGCATATACTAACGGCGAGTTGACATAGGATGCACAACCTCGAAGCGCCAGGAACGTACGAGTACCAGTTACAAAACTCAGTGACCATGGACCTCCAATATTGGACATATGCCGCACAGATTTTTTCGAACTCGCACGGAAACTAGGGCTCGACGCCTTAGTGTGTAGTATTGCACCGAAACGCCAGATGCAGCCCATGAGTGCGCGTAGTGTCCTGGTCCTGAGTGACCAAGCTAAACTTACACGCCTTTATCTAATGTAAATCGCCAGCTTCTCGATTCGGACGGATTGAAACCAGCATCTCGTATTCAAAATTGCACGTCATCCCGTGTTAAACTGGATTTCATGCACCAATACCTGTTCCAATCGAAGCTTCCGCTTTGGAATTGAAAAGCCACAAGCAATTCAATTTCTTCGAGGCGCAGACAAAGCTTTGAAGTTTCGATTCGGTTTACAGCCCCAGGAGTTGTTATTGTGGGGCTCTAGGCTTCAGGGGTCTTTGTATTTAGGGCCGCGGGAGAAAGTTTTATGGGTCTTTAGACGGTTTAGACTCATTTTGTTTTGGTGGGAGCTTTGAGCCAGACCCCTCGCAGGGGCGCTCGAGTCTCTGAGCATAGGCTTTAAGCGTTTTAGGGTTTGTATAAGGTCTACCTTAGCACCACAACCCTGCCTTGTTAAGGATTTTACAAGGAAGTCACAACAAGGAGCCCTGCAAAGGTAGGTTCTTTCGGGTCGGGTTTAGGGGTTAAAGGGCCTGTGTGAGGAAAGCCCCGCGACTCGGATTTCCAAAGCCTCTAGCCGGCAGCGTAGCAAGCAAACAGGAACCCTGGTCACCTGAACCCTGCACCTGTAAATCTAGAAAATTGCAAGAAGGGCTGAATAACAGCAAATATTAGAATCATTCTTGCTACTTTTTTCGAGTACTTCGACGACAAAGGTTTTGTTACCATCTCGCAAGCTTGTCGCCCATTCTGATTCTGGTCGCTAGGTGGAGCCTCGCTCGTGGCAGAACTTTTGAATGCAGAGGCCTGGGTCTTCAGGACATCCACCCGACGCCGAAATAGATACACAAATACATATTATAGGTGTATATATATATATAATATACACACACGCATATATATATATACATCTATACATATATATATATATATATATGTAGATTACACATGGGATGGTGCGGGTTGTGTAGGATTAGTGTTGGCATGTCCTTCATCGGTTTTGGATGGTTTTCTATGGTATAGCGACAAGAAGAAAACAATCGATAGCAAAACGATGACGCGGTTTTCATGCAGAAACGATCAGAGGAAATAAGAACGATAACGACATTCAGGAATAAGGCTGTTTATACGGGGTTGTTATACAACCACATGTGTGTAAATATATATATATATATATACCTGGATGAATACATAAACACACACACACACAGATATATATATATATGTGTGTGTAATAGATATAGGCCCTGGTCTCTCGTTTGGGCCTCGGCAGTGTCGAGTTCATCGGCAAGAGGGGTCGAATAAGTTTTCGATTGCCGCGCTTGAGCCTCTTGCCCACTGCGCACGTCTAGTTGCCGGGAGTGCGACCTTGGAGTAGTTTGATGAATTTTGGCGAGCTCTCGCCCCTTCAACCTCAGACCCTCACTGCAAACCGTAAGGCCCGAAACCCTGAACGTTTAGAAGGCAACTACTTTTGAAGGAGCCTGTAATGTTCAACCTCATTTATAATATGCAGGCCTGAATGATTTCTAGTATTCTGCTTCGAGGTTTCTGAGTATAGTCAGAGTATAGAATACTCCCCCAGATCCCAGTCTAAATATGAAGGCCCCGATATCATGCCCTAATACGATGCCTTTACAAGCAACCTGAAACTGAATGGGGCCCTCAAGTGGATCTTCAAATCCCAAAACTCTGAACTCTAAACACGGAATCGAGCCCTAGAGGATTGCCCGGCTTTCTTGAGGCTGACGTGAACTATCAGGTACCGGAGTCGGAGCCCATCCTGAACGTGGCTGGACGGAGTTTCGGTTTTAGGGTCTCTGGTACGTATTATGGGCTTGAGGGTTGAGGGCTCTGGAGGGTTTTAGAGGGGCTTCCGGCTCAAGGCGCGGAGTTTCGGGTGTGGCGTCCATGGTCTCTTCAGGGTACCAGTGTAGCAGTTGGGGATAGTTCTGAGATATCTATGTGTTTAAGGCTAAGGGTAGTCTTATACGTCTTATAGGCATGGTCAGGATTAAAGATATGTAGCGTTGTTGACAGTGGACACATGGGCACTCGGTCCCACGCGACGTCATTTTGCAGTGCGCGGCGAGTTTTCGGCTGCTGACTGAATTTGCCATGACTTACGCCACCGCAACAATTGCACGACATCCCGAGCTGCAAGATCTCAGTTTTGTCGCGGTCAGCATGCACCAAGCCTCAAACTCGTGCTATTTGCTTGACTGCAGCTTAGAAGCCTCCCAGCTCGAGGTCGCTGCTGGAATGTCTGCACTGCATATTTGCAGCATGCTGGGCAACAACAGGGCATTGAGCCAAGGCAGCAAACGTCCTATCAGCAGGCGACGCTTGCAACGTGCGTCGTAGTGTAGCCCTACATGGCACTGTGCGCAATTAAGAGGTATGTAACAGTCCAGGGTGCATGTAGGTTTCAGGGATTTAGGGGGGAGTGTCGCTGTGGACTGCAGACGTTCCTTTTTTCGATTAGCAAAGTTCCCTGCGATGCGTGGTGAACCAAAGGAGGTACCAACGCAAAGAACGCAAGGTGAGACATCCGAGGACCAAGGCGATGCAGGAACCTGCCCAGCCCATATCTCAAGTCTTTATGCAAAGCTTAACGGGTTTTTGATCGATGAGCAAGTTGGCGAATACAGGAGGTGGGAATTGAGTTCTACGCTCAGGGGGCGATAGTGCTAGGTCCGGATGTCCCATGCGTATGGCCGCCCGTCATTGTTGCGGAGGGCTCCGGAGTTTCGATGATAATTAGGGCTCCCTTATTCTGGGGTATTGATAATAATAACGATCCTACTATTTAGGGTACTATATTAGTAGGGTCCCCTATTTTCGGAAACTCCCATTTCGACAGCCGAGGAAGGCTCTGATAGATGGCCGGGCAGATCTTAGCATTTCGGATTCCCATGGAAAGACAGCGCTGGACAGGACGGGTTCCGGGATGTCTCTTGCAGCTTTGCGGTTTTGCTGGGTTGCCGGGTTGGCGAGAGTCCGGGAATCTATCCAAGCATTGTCAGCGTTCATCTCTCGCGCACGCAGTGTGCATCGAGGGCCCATGAGATGAAGAACCACGACGCTGTGGTGCAGTTGCTTCGCACAGGCAGGCTCGGGGAGAGAGGGCTACCAGAGAAAGATCTGAGCACAAGAGCGTTGTGTTGCCGATCATAGGGCCCTAAACAATTGCGTATACTTGTTTCGGGGTTCTTCATTATGATCATGGTAGTATGGGCCCCCAAAACATCCCAAAACCATATTCTAACTATGAAGGCCCCTTTATTAGATTTCGGGAGGGTGGCCTGTTTCCACAAGAGGTGGCTCTGTGGCCTTGGCAGTTTACCCATACCCTACCCCGTTTTGGGGATACCTAGTTTTGTGGTTATGATCTGTTGTATAGAAAAGTAGATGCCCTAAAACAGGGGTAGGGTATGAGCCTACAGGTAGAGTAGAAGCTCGCAAGCATGCAACTTGCTAAGGAGATGGTGAGATCCCTGGGCATGCCAACACCTTGGCTACCTGCTGCGTGACATGCCGAAACACTATTTAATATAGGGGCCTAAACCACTACCTAATTATTTCTAGGGTTCCTTATGAGAGTTATAGTATAATATGCCCCTGAAGCCCTATTCTAATGCATATTTGCAATCACAGGTTATGACCTTTAAGGACCGGATGTTTGTGTGTGTGTGGTCTCAGGCTCCTAAAACTGAGAAGTATCCAACTTGTATTGCGCCTCTGCAATCCATGTAAGCGGAGAGCCGCGAAGTCCAACATCCATAGACCCATGGTGGTCCACAAAAGTTAGTGCTTCCCTACCAAAGACACCAAAGCATAGAAAGCACTTTGAGCAAGCCGTTTGGCTGAAACCCTAAATCCTAAACCCTAAACCCTAAACCCGAACTTAGGTGGCTGAAGCACGGGCACGACCTTCAAACCCAGAGCCGGCGTGAATGGCTTCGGCGAAGGGTTGGAGGACCTGTCAATCTATGAATATAGCATGGTCATTACTGCTATTGTTGCTTCTAGCACAATTATGACTATTTGTCGTCATGATTGTTGTTGATCTCTCACCTTGATATATTTCGTGTATTTGTTGCAGTGAAATTGGCATTGGCTTGGGCTTGAAGTCGTCAAGTTCAGGCAGTTGAGCAGAAGGCGAGCGTCCCTGAGCATCTTACAGGCCTGCTGCAAGCCCTAAGCCCTATTAAACCCTAAACCCTACACCCTGAACCCTAAGCCCTATAAAGCCCTCAAGAAGGACCGAATTCGCATGTGATTTTGTTGTCCTGGGAGACACCGAGCCTTGTCAGCACCGCCTGCATTGGTTGAACGGGTGTGGCGTTCTCTGGAAATCCGTTACAGGGAACCGACAGAGCTTCAACGTACAATGGCTTGGTCCCTAGTGTTGGAGAGGAGAAGCCAAGACTAACCGATTGGGTGTTTGCGTTTGGCAATATACGATACTGCTGTATTAGACTATACGGTACTTTAATACAACATAACCTAATAGAACATTCATTTAGGGCAAGTAGAACGAGTTGACCACTTCTGGCTTACAGGTTCTAGCTACCTAAAGGAAAAAGCACACATCTGAAAGCACAGGCGGAGAGTGACTTGCGGCATAGATCACTGTGGGCTCCACTTAGTTGAGCAGCAGACTCGCATCGTACGGAGCTACAGACCTATCACTCGGGGGAGCTATCTCGGTAGCTATGCTTACCCCAATGCTGTGTTTTCGTCGAGTTTGCTGTGCTTTGGAGTGGGTGTGACCGCATCTGCACAGTCGATGTTGCAGCTTCGTAATGCGTCGACTCCACGCATTGGTTGTCTGGTTTCCGGCTTTGGGAGAAGCACTTTTCACTGCAGGAGACATCTAGAGTATCTAGGGTCCACAGCGGTTTCCGCATCCTGGAAGCGCAACCTTGGCTTGCAGCAGATGAGATCGTTTGAGAGAGCAGTGGATCTCTCCTCCTGTGTGGTTTCTTCCACCCGGCAGCATGGGGAAGTCTTCTCGAGAAGCTTTGGCTTGCTTCCGGGTCTATTCACAGTTCAGTTAGGTGTTGCGGCGTGTGTCTCTCATAGAATGTCGGAACCTTGAACTAAGACGCGGCAATGCTTTCATACACTTAAGGCCTATTTTGGCTTGGCCGTCACTGGATCTGTTGGTTTGGTTTGTCTCGGGATGTTTAACTACTGTTGCTGGGTAACAGGCTCTGGAAGATGAGCTTGGCTATACTTCTGGTTGCGGTTTGAGGGGTGGTGCTTCTGCTGGTGTGGAGTTGTCAGATGCCTGGCTGAGCTTGCAGAAGTTGGCCAGCCCAGACCAGTACCTGTGAATCCTTGCTTGCCTTGTATGGGGAAGAAAAACGCCTGGACATAGAGAGGGAGCGGGAGAAAGAGAGAAGCAAAGTTAGAGGTTCTGGCACGGAGAGAGGAGTGGAGAACGGTGTTCCCCCGACGAAATGCTTCGCCTAAAGATGCATGAGCCACCTGGCTTCTGTTGCTTGCTTCTGCTTTTGTGTGGGCCAGTATCGAATCGAACGGTAGCTTCACGAGAGGACGTCCCCGTGTGTTGCTCATTACAGTAATTCGGTGCTGTGCTCCTTGGGTCTTTTGCGGTTTAGAGCTTGAGGGCTTTGTGCGGAACATCGCTCTTGAGTGCTTCGGAAGCCCTTGGGTCATACCTCCCAGAGGAGCTGGTGCGGCAGCCGATAGAAAAACTTTTGGCGCGAGAGCAGAGATCGTAATACTGGGCAGGGGAGCCCTGAAGCATTAAATCGAAGAGTTCCGGAAGTCTCAACATGAACTCACGGATAGTGGAATTCATGGGCTTTTGGACCCGGTAACCCTTCAACCCTCATTGGACCCCGTTCCCAAGCCGCAAACACCAAGGCCCCCGGGGTCCTTGTGTGGGGCGCTGAAGAAGTAATACCATGGCATTTTCCATATATATATATATGTATATATATATGAGGCAGGAACCTTTACGTATAATGTGATTGATTCGGTCGGTTATACAGTGTGAACACTCAGCCCGGTGTAACATACAATGCACATCCCTCTGTGCTCTTACCTGCATCATGAATGCACCTGGGTTGTACTCCAATGCTCGGAAGCCTGAACTCCAACTGCTCACACAGCTCGGCTTGCACCCTCTTTGCGACATCATGCTCAGTAGATCAGATACAAGCATTGGTATCATCAGGACTTCAAAAGAAGGCATGAAGTGACAAACCCCACAAAAGGGTTGATGGCTGACAAACCACATATAAACATCCTGTAAGAGGCTGTGGAATGGCAAACCGTCAAAGGAGATGATGGCTACAGTCCCAGAAGGTCTGATGTGGCCCACCCTGCAAGCTGATTTGTCGGTGAGCCGACATACGTCGACATCATGCTCAATAGATCAGATACAAGCATTGGTATCATCAGGACTTCAAAAGAAGGCATGAAGTGACAAACCCCACAAAAGGGTTGATGGCTGACAAACCACATATAAAATTCCTGCAAGAAGCTGTGGAATGGCAAACCGTCAAAGGAGATGATGGCTACAGTCCCAGAAGGTCTGATGTGGCCCACCCTGCAAGCTGATTTGTCGGCGAGCCGACATACGTATCACGTCGCCCTCCCTTATGGCCACCTCAACAGCCACAGTTGACATTGGGCAGCATCACGATCCCGGCTAACATCTGGGCTCTCCCAACAACTGGCAATGTAACTTGCATCCACCCCGGCCAACAGTCCCAGGCCGGGCTGTTGCGTCGGCCATTTTCCAGCCTCCAAATAAGCTGTGATCCCAAGAAGGCCACCAACACTGCTATGCTGACAACATGCGCCTCCCGATGATGATCGTCGTACACCGGCATGCGTAGCAAAGGCGGCACAAAATCCGATACGGCAGTATCAAATGCCGGAAACAACTTTTCAATCTCAGACACAGCATGCCCTAACAACCGAGCATGTCACACGAACAACTTTCTTTCTCTGAGCGCACTCAGGATGCCAGCGTCACCGTCACCTACGGACCCCTTGTGTGCGCAGCTTCGATCTTCGAGCTGCAGTGAAAATGGTCCGCTTCTGCTTCTGCCTTTTTGACGCGGAGGGCCGCTTGAGAGCCCACGTGCGCACTTTACGCACTTCTGCGGCACGTTCGTGAGTAAACGATAAGCATGCCTTCTGTACCTTCTCAGATTCCAGGCATGACGAGCACCACCGCTGCCATTCTTCGTGAGACCACACTGACTTAGCAGTGAGCCTTGCGAGCAGAAGTCTGCTGTTCGTTTGGCTGATGGTTGATGCTTGCAATGCAAGCGCATGAGGCAGAGCTTTGCTCAATGTCAATATCAGCAGCTTCAAGCGCAGAGTGCTCTTATGAATCTGCTGAGTTTGCAAGAACCATGACTTAATTTCGGCATGCAAGGCTTCATTGGATGAAGTGCCGGCCGGAAGGAACGTCAAGGCTTTTCGACCTGTTGACGCAGCACTAGAACCAGTACGAAGGTGGACACATACTCATGCCAACGTTACCTTGCTAACTAAGGCCGTGACTCAGCGTGTGCCTGAACCGCTGGTTGTTGAAGTACCATTCAGCACGATCAGGATCAGCAGCACACCAGAGTATGTGGGAGATGCATTGATTGGCTCCAGTTACCTTGCGTCCCATGTCCTCGTTGAAAACCGCAGCCAGTGCAGCCAAGGCTTCAATGAACTCCAGTCTGCAAAGAAAGGGCTTCGAGCTGTCCATCTCCGCTACAATTTTACGAGCTTTGCCTTTGGCAAAAGCACCGGTTTCAATGTAGGTTCTGCGCGTCTGTTCCTGCTGGCTAAGTTGACGGCTATCGTAGCCTCTGTAGAAATGACCCCAGTGCTGAGAAGGAAGACTTGCATCCACCATGTTGAACTTGTGCATGATTTTGCGGAGGAACACAGCGCCTGGCGTTTTTTTCCGCCATGTCGCATACCTGAGCACATGTGATGGTCTACCCAAGCTTGCAAGCTTGACTGTGACATCTCCTACAAAGTCGAGGCTAGCTGCTCGTAAACGATGCAGAGGTGGATAGGATCAAGCGCCAGACACTGTAGGTTGGGCATAATGCACTTCAACTCGGCATAGAGCTTGGTTGAGGCACAATCCGATGACAGGAACTGCACTTGACCAAGCCCATCCGCCGGAAGCATTTCCGACAGGGCCATACAGACATCTTCAGCCTTTTCTGATGCCATCGCACACATGCCAAGCACGGCACTTGTACGCCCTCTGACCGTAAGAACCCGCCTGAACGCATGGTCGTCGTCGAACGGGGCCTGATCTCTTTTTGCTTTAGGTGCGCGGTAGGATTCTTGCCCAAGAACTCCCATGCAACATTTTATGGTTGCATCGATAGAGATAACTTGAAACTCCCTCAGGTCGCGGAAGGTGGTCAGCAGCTTGACAGTCAGAGAAGCGACTGCTGGCGATGTAAAGACGTCTTCGATGATTGGCCACCAGTGCCGGACATCCGTAGGCAACAAAGAGGCCAACTGTGACCCTCGCGCCATGATGGAAACGAGGATCCTGGGTTTCGCCTTGCGGGGCGCAAAAGACAACAGCCACTGATCACAGAACATCTTTACTACAACACAAGAACATGTGTTCTGTCGTTGCTAAACTTGGCCGGCTACAGTCTTGCACTTCGCATGGCATAGCAGAAGCTCCTGGTAAACAAGGTCCGCAAACTCATGGGTGTAGTAAAGGTTCCTGACTCGCCTCACATTGGAACTTTGCAGAGACGATTGTGCCCAGTACTCAGGTCCTCGACCGGTCAGCACCAAGCGGATTTCACGATCAATCTCATTGACCGTGTGAGACAACGCTGGAGCGACCATACTTCTCAGTAGCTCCGAGCTTCTGGCCAAATAGTTCCCACGAGCACATCCCTGGATCTGGTCGTGATCGAACAAGGCACAACAA